CTAGAAGAGAAAATGGGTTTCTATAAAGTGTTCCTTTATAATAATATTTCAGAAAATTAAAAGACAGCATATTATACAGTATATATAACAGTAAAAAAGAATAGTTTACATTAAAAAATTAAATCTGAAGAGAAAGGTGTTAATTAAAAGATTTAGTCATGTGTTATTTTACGTTTAATTATTGCACAAGAATACTGAGTTTAAGCACACCTTTGGTTTCTCAGAGCACGTTGTGTCTTGCAGTCCAGACTGCCAGTTTGAGCCGATGGTCAAGATTCCCCAGTGAGGCCGAGGAACCCAGTTAGATAAGAAAGGAGCTCAGGGGTTAGGGCACTCGTTTTGTTTTCCAGGATGAGTTGAAATGTCATTGGAGATGATGTTATTTTATGAACATGCACAAAGACCTAAAGATTTATGGTTGACTCTTATCATTGGCTTATAGGAGCATGTAACAAGCTAAACAGCCATGTTGTTGAAAATGATACTCTGTTTTCTTTCAAAAAATATGTGACATAATTGCATCAAAAACTACTAGGCACCAAATGAGCCAAATGGCCTCTTTTTCTTAACCATTGTAACTGTTCGTATGTTCTTAAACAATAACAGGATTGATTTTGTCAGAGTGTCTTCACATTGTCGCCCAACAGCAAGGCCTTGGATTTGCACGTGCTTTATGAGTTTGCAGTAATGTCAATGAGAGATTACACTTCTTCTCCAGTCAGTGATAAGCAATGTTTTGTGGAGTCTATAGCATGTTAGCTGATGAATAGGAACTAAGGAAGCATACTTAGAAGAGAGCAGAACAAATCTCTTTAACAAGGTAGTGAAGAGAGAACAAATTGTGAAAGACAATAGAAGGCTGGGAAGTGGCAACCTTGTTTTACTTGAGTCCTACAACAACATGGTAAGTTATGGGTGTAGCTAGTATTGGTGTTGCTGTAATCAGCATCTAACCCATGGATTGTTAAGGTTAGCTGGACATAAGGGGCCCAGATTTGGTAGGGAGAACCTCCTGTCGATCTTTATACTATGTGACCCACTACCGACCTAAACTTGCTTTTGTTGGGTGTTTATAGCTCATGAGATTAACATATTCTAGATATTCTAAAGGTAATGCCACTTTTACAGCCTTCTTATTATCCCACTGCAGGCTAGATTAAATATTCTTGTGATTCAAATTGTAAACATCAACAATAAAAAACTTACTACTGTTTGAATTGAGAGTTAGGATAGGTATACAGTAATAGGTATATAGGTATACTGTACAGTATGTTCAGAAACAGAAAATTTAATACTTGCCAAGCACACACCATGCCAAGAACTGTGTCAACCATACATAACTGTAAAGAGCTTTGATGAAAACATATTTGATTAATTTGTGAATATTATTTCAAATATAAAATATATAAGAAATACATTCTTAAATTATTCTTTGTGTGGGAGATCAGCAGTCTGACATTGGATTAACCACACTTAATAGGTGTACCGTGAAATACACTGTATGTGAAAACCAAATTAATTTCTGTGGATAAAACAAATTAGGCTGAATATGCAAGCATTGTGTAATCTCAAATCGGAGGTATTCATGATTCCGTAAATGAAGGGGAGTATGTTTGTTTCATTGTCAGTGACTATGTTCATTATCACTGACCTTGAATACAGCAAAAGCAACAAAAATGCTTCATTGCTCATGCTACATCTAACTGATAAAATTACTATTTAAAAACAGATTTAGGGCTTAAAAACAGTCAAGATGCAGCATAATCTGATCAAGATTAAAGTATATGAAGTAAATTAGACAGAAGGTAAAGCAATTAGCAAGGAAAGAAATTATGTTAATGAAGCTGCAGTGCTTGTTAGGTCATTTTCATTATGCATGTTATACTTTGGCTTAGGGCAGGATATTCCTGGGAAGATTAATAGTTGCATAAGAAAAGGTGTAAAATTAGACTGCATAACTTAATGCACATTATAAACAACCTACACCAGCGCTTGTTATGATAAGAAATACCATTTTAGTTATCATTAATATATTTTCTATTTTTAAAAACATGATACAATTTAGTACTTGCCAAGCACAAATCATGAATAACAGCATACCAAAAACCTGGAACATGTAGAAAACTGTAATGTCTGCATCTTTTTTTTCTATTTTTGTTCTGGTGGGCTTGAGAGAGCAAAGCATACTGATCTAAGCACTTTTGCTATACTGCTTTAGGTTGTATGCAATAACTTTAAAGTGACGATCATTTACTCACACAAACTGAATTCTAATACATCATACCCTGAGTGGCTTAAAGAAAGAAGATAGAGAAGACAGAATAAAGAAAGAATGCCTTAAAGATAGAAGAAAATGTGACAAAATGTGTTGTGATGTCTCTCATCTTTCAAGTGTTTAAAGATGCTGCGTACAACCACAAGCCACACTACAAGAGTACTACTCTGTGTAAATATAGGTGGTCATTGTTTTTAGTATGCATGTCATACTGTATGTGGCTGTAGGATTGTTTGTTGAAAATCTACCCCAATCATTGCTTCAAGAGATTAATACCAGGTAGACAAGAGAGTGTCCCTGTCCCCAATGTATACTTATCTCTCAATTTTCCACAGAGGCCTTTTGTTTTGATTGCAAATCATACCTTACAAAGGCACATGTAATTTAGAAACAAAGCAAATAAAACAACTTAAATACAAAAGGACAACATCCTTCTTAGAAGCCATCATTTTTAAATGACTGTAATCAAATCAGCAAAAGTCGATGTTAAAGCCTACCTTTTCTTTTGCTAAGACTTACAATGATTGTCAACTGGTTCTGATCAAAGGTTTGACTGGAATGTGCTCAAAAACAACTTTGAAAAAACTAAAAATTGTATAGGCTCTTCTATATTCAAGGAATAAAGGCTTTCTCTTTACTGGTGAATGTACAGGTAAAACAATGATATCGTAGTTCTGCAAATGTAAAAAGTAAGTGGCAAACACGTGTGAATACAGCTGCATTTTTCAGTTATGGAAAGAGAATCATAAATAAAACTCTGATACTTAATCACATTTAAAAGAAGTTGCTGTGCAATACACATTAGGGATTGAATGATTGCCATTTTCCAAATTAATCAATGCAAAGCTTTAACTCTCATTGCATTAATTCCTTGACAAGTATGCTTCCACTGAAACCACACAGGAAGAAATGATTTGAGATTAATTTAAGTGCATTTTTTACTTTACTTTCTGAAATTAGAAAATCTTGCTTGGGTACCAGGTGCAAAGGTTGTGCTGTTTGCTGATTTACCCTCTGACTCAGCTGGTTTGTTGACATCCAGTTTTAATTGACTGAATCTCAGATGTTGCTGCCTCATCATCTTTGACGCCATATAAAGCATTACACTTCGGGGATGGTAACTCCAGCTCATACAAGTGTACGTTCAGAGAAAATATTTTAAATAGCGCTTTAATACTTGATGCAAATGACTCGATATTTCTAAATAAATTACAGATCAAAGTACATTAGGAAACAGAGATAATGCAGACTCTGGTGCATCTTGCTGCACACCATATTGCTCAAACATATAAAAGATTACTTAAAAAAATAAGTTTCAATAATTAAAACAAAACTCCTGGGAATGAAGCATCTCAGAAATCATTATTGTCACATACAAAGAGATAAATGCACATAGAATACAGATAGGATAATGACTGATGCTAGAACATTCAACACATGGTATAAAAGCACTCATTATTCTGATACCTATTAGACATTTTTTTTCAGCTCTCTTTTGCCTCGTAACACTACAGTGACAATGAGTTAAAAGCACGGTATCCCAAAGCAAAAAATTATCACTCATTTCCTGAATACTGAAAAAAATTTAAAACCAATCCAGCAATAAAATAACATCGGTAATGGACAAAGATCAAAATTATGTTTGAGTTTTTTTACTGGCTAATACTAGTTTTGGAGGAAATATTTATTTAGATTTGGAAAAAAAGTGAAGTAAATTTGCTCTAGAGCAAAATGCCTTGAGAGCTGCCCTGTTAGTGTGTTTTCTTGCAAAGAAAATGTTTACAGTTATCAAGGTGATGTTGATGCTAAAAAATTCAGGTCATTGGCTCATTTCAAATCAAGTCAATGATCATTGCTCACCAAACCCTAACTGGAATTAGACCAGTCCACAGCAAGGCAATTTTATCACCTAAACAGTTGTTTTGGCAGGTGGCCTAAAATGGGATGCTAATTTTAGTCTTTCTCTGAGCACTAAGTATTCCATATTGGCAGCATTCCCAGCCAAAGAGAGCATTAATGAAGGAATGCTGAATAACTGTCATTACTGCCAGTGCTCCCACCAGAGAGCATTTAAACTCTGCACTGGGAAACATCTGATTAATATTTTTTTGCCCCAGATGTTCCCACTAGCCATGTTCAACCCCAGATTCTTAACCTGCCGCAAATCAAGAAATGAATCTTTAATCAACAAGAAACTAACACTATTTTAGCAAGTGAGAAACACATTTGCATAGTCAACACAGTTGCTAGTAGTAAAGAAGCCATTTATAAATTAGTTATAAGAGATATACAGTATATCTGTTTAATTTCTATGCCATTCATTAGTGTTATGTATTACAAGGTATTTGACATTGCAATAATGTGCTCTTGAAGTATTAGAGATTATAATGGTTTCCTTGATGGCTTCCTTGCAGCCCCTATAATGAATTACCAATATCATATATTCTGCAGTGTATTGTGGATAAAACATACTTGATATCAAGTCTATTTATAAGTCAAAGCATACTGTACCTTTATGTGCTCTTCTCACTGTTCTCTACAATAGGTTTAATTACCTTAATGCTAAAAGATTATTATTGTAATGCTATTGATTGAGTTAGCAATACAGTTCATGCAGAATTATTAAATATGCACTTAAAATACAATCTTGAATGTAACTTTTTTCATAAACTCTTACAACCGAAAGACTTCAGCATGTAATGATTCTCCAAGTTTGAGATCATACCGTCATAAATCCGTCCAGCAAACCGGAATCTGGTTTGGGTGGTGCTTGAAGCCGTTCCATAGACCATTTTTCAATTATTGAGGCGACTTGAGTATTTTCAGTGTTTAAGATTCGGAATCCTGTCATGTTAACACCACTGTAGCGGTATGGCTCCACATCAAGGGCAAATAGGTCCTGGAAGAGATGCGCTTGTGTAAAAATTTGTGTGAAACAAATTTCCTTCTTAAAACACCCAAGGGATACATACTCATACTGTATCTCCAAGATATTCTATCAAAATCAAAAGTTAAATATGGCAAAAGGCTGTTTTCTTTTGTTATTTTACAGTTTGTTATTTTGAGTACCTAATTTTCTATAAAAAAGTTCAATAAAAAATACATTAAAAACATAGTTGTTAAAAATAATGTGAAAAATATTTTTACATAGTTAAAAATAATGTGATTCTGGTTACTCATAGAAAGTTATAGATATTTACAGGAAGATGACGGGTCTGACTGCAGAACACAGATCTAGTCTGTTTAAGGGGCTAATATTGTACCAGTATTTAGTACTTGAAGAATTTAAGCATACAATAACTGATTTCAATAGTTATTTGTTTAATTATTAAAATATTTTTTTAAAGAAAAGATGTTTAGTCTCCCAAAAATCTATATTTAATATTTTAATTGTAATTGCTGTTTCAACTACCAAGGCTGACTTCAATGTTGTCTCTTTTTGTAAAATCTTTTCAGGTAGGTTACTTTTTATAGTACTAACAATCACATAAGAAGACTGGTTGAAATACTTAATCATTCTTCTATTTGTATTTATTATAAGTTAAATGAAATATAAGAATATAAGAAATAAAAGCAAACAAAGATGTGGACTGTTCTGTATATCAACAGAACAAATCTGATTAAATAAAATAAGTCATAATACATAGATACCAGCATTGGTGAATCTAGTTCTTTCAACACTTCTACATAGGTTACAATAGGTAGCTGAAGTTCCAAAACAAAAGGTTTTCATCTGAAATTAATTTTCACTCTTCTGTTTCACTTGGTTGATTCCTGTGAAATATAATTTTCATTTATCTCACCTAGAGTATCTCATGTGTCACAGTAGCTAAGGAACACACTTCAGAGTGATATTAACAGGAAAAAATAAAGCCATCAAAAGACGCTTTATGGCACATCTTCATAGTACTCTAATCGTATTTAGCTATAAATGTTAACTAAACTCTTCCATTCATACAGGATTAATGATAATATTCTTTTTTATTCTTTTCATATCCAGGAGTCTTATACAGAAGTCTATAGAAGTTCATAATATACCGATTAATTGATAATTCGGGCATATGAACATACTGTATGTGGAAAATATTTGATTAATAATATACATTAATAATTAATTGCTAAGCTTGGATCATTCTGTGTTGTGTATATTCTCACCCTTTAGTGGCTGCTTAACAAAAATGATACAGGAGACAAATTAAAGGGGGCAAAACGATACTGAAAATGTAAAATTGTAATTTAATTACGAATTAAACATTTTAAAAAATATATTAAATGTTTGTTTTCAAGTAATATATGGTCCAACACACAACAAATAAAATGAAAAAAGTAGGTTTAGCAACTAAATTGATGATTACTGTGCTTTTTTAAAATGATATTTGTTAAAAAAATACAAGGGAGAATATTACTGCATATTTAGCAGCTTTGTCTCTTGCAGTATGTTAAAATCTTTTCCATTTGAATATACTTTTAAAATTTAAAACTTCTGGAATGGTAATCTAAACAGTATTAAAACTAGCAATATTACAATTTAATTCACTTACCAGTGTTGTAAAAATGTAATGGTAATATTCTGTCATCATACCCATAGCCAATGCCTGTAAAGAAAATACAACCAACTATGTTTTCTCACACTTACAGTATGTAGCTCATAATAAAAGGAAGCACAGCTTACTATTTTATTAACTTCCATTTTGTATTAACTTGGTTAATAGTAAATATTCAGCTGTTTATACAAACTACATGAGAGAACAAACTAATTTGGCAAATTAAATATTTACAATTGTCAGAGAAAAATACATTTTCTCAGTACATTTCACATTGTTTTGCTTTATTCTTTATAGGAAAGCTCAATGCCTTCCCTACAGCACATACATTTATTACTTTAATTAGTTCTAAAACAATGTTTCCATGCAATTGAAGTTTTAACAAACGTTTTCAGTCCATTATTAGTAGTAGTATTATACTTGACATATCACAGTATATACTGCATTAATTTGCAGCATGAGCTTATACACAATCCACAATACTAAATAAAATTTGTTTTTACTCCTGTATCATTAAAAAAAGTTCAGTCTTTGTTTTTTATTTAAATCAACGTTTTGCAGGTGTCTGTAAGTATTGCATAAATGATTAAAAACAAACGCTGTTTTGCAAAAGTGTTTTTTGTGTTTGAATTAAGCAGATGTATAAAAAAAGAAAACTGCTGTTCTCCTTCAGGCATCTTCATGGTTGTTCACACCCACTCACATGTGAGTCAATCCTGGAAGATCAAGATAAGCCTAAAGCCACGTATTGAATTCATTATATTCCCATCTGCAGTGCTGAGATTTTTTTGAATAATTACAAAAGGCCAAAATAATATCAATGTGGAATGTATCGTTTATATTTTTTGTGTCTCATAACTAAATGGTTATTTCTCATTTGAGAACATGAGCACTTCATTCCTTCAGGTTAGAAAAGCATGATTTTTCAGCATTGGAGTTATCTCTAAATGAATCCCCATTTAATTGTAGATCTACCCTCTTTATAACATTTTGCTGAATACATTAAAAATATAATTGTGACTAAGAGACAAATTATAAGTAGTATTGCACTAAAGTGAATTTTACTAGAAATACAACTAAATCTGGGAGACCTTTTAAAGTAGCTATCGCAGTAACTGTCGAGATTCAGTGTGAGCAAACATCAATCGTTTAAGCTACAGTATTGATATCTAAAAGCATTTATAATAATTTACAGCAACTTTCAGGTACAAATATTTTGTAGTCTGTAAACCTGGACTTATCTAGGGGTCAGAAGCTTTGGGATATTTTTATTAGATCTCCATACCTCCAGCCATCAATCTCAATGAAATTTAATGTAAAGGCAACATAACACAGCTAACAGTTATTTAACTGACAGCCAACATGAGTTCAAGAGATTCATTTTATCCAATTTGGGACATGAAGGTGACTAAAAATATGATTTTTTCTCATGTTATCAATGTTTTAATATAACTCCATGTGTACATTTCAAAACTCATTCTGGAATAAATTGTCTTCGTTTATTTAAATCTTTTTGAGATTTGTGAAAGTACATCTAATAAATTTACACTAATTTCAAATTAAATACAAAATGCATCTTATTAATATTATGGATAGTGGTACAGGAAGTTTAAAATAAAAATCTGAAACTATTCAGCAAAACACGGTTGCTCATAAATAATAATTTGTGTTCAATACACGTGTGTCAGCAATTATTATTTATTAAATCAGTGGAAGCGGCTTCCTCTGAAATTGTAAATCTGTGATAAGAGAAGGACGATAATTTGAAAAATACAACTTTAAAATTCCTGTTATGTCACGTACAGATAATTCTCACCTACTTATTATGACTTTTGTAAGAAATTAATTTCTCCGACGGCTCATTAGGGAAAATTATCCTACTTGCAATTGATGATAGGTGTCCTTGACCTTCATTATTAACTTGCTATTTTGCAATTGATAAAAAGCCCCTAAATGCTTGGGTGAATCACGTTATTTTTAATATTTAATAAATGCCTTTGAGCAGGATACATGAATGTCTTTAATTAAATTACATTTTAAAATACAATTCAATTTTAACTAGGCATATTTGAAATCTAACATCTAAAACATATTTAAATGATTTACCTTTCTTCACAGAGAATTAAAATAATCAAGGGATCTAGCACTTTTTAAAAAAATGCATTTTGAAAAGCAAAGCTTTTGGCCTAGAAAAACAATGACTGTCTCACTTCAATGTTTTATTTAAAATGTATACAATTATTACCTCTGCAAGAATGGTATTAAAGTGTAAAAATCACTATGGGTATGAAATCTTTTAAGAGATATACCTGTATGAGATAAGGGGACATTTTGGCAAATGTTAAAGTGTTTTTCCCCCAGTCACTCTCACTAGCTGACATACTGTACTAGGTGAAATAACTAGTGTGACATGTTTGTGTGAGACACATGACATAGTGTCAGAAAAACCTTTAGAACAAATATGCACATTTCTTTCAATGTCATCAGCTCAATTACCGTAGCTTGATGCTCCTATTCAGGATTGATAAAGTTTAGATTTCAGCACAACACATTGGACATAAATGACATAAAAAAATATTAGGTAATCACCTGTTTTAATATACCAGCTGCCATTTCGTGCCCACAGTCAAATATTACATGGAACTCTTTCCCCCTCTTCATTTCCTTCAGCAGGGGTTTGGCATCCTTTGTGTCCGCTGGTAGCTGTCGGATTTTCAATCGAATGTTGTAGCGTGATGGAGCCTTGATGAGCTCTTGTAATCGAATGAGACCTTGTGGGATTAAAAAAAAGAAAAGGAAATGTAACAAAAACATATGGGACCTTGTTAAGAAATGGCTTATCGCAACATATACAATTTAAAGACTTCAATCCTTTCTGTCAAGCATACACGGTAATATGATACATAACTTCTTGTCCTTTTAGAGCTGCTGTAACAATTTATGGTCTCCTAGAAACAACTTGCAGCTTTTAAAGCCCTTGATTTTTGATTCCACCTGGGGATCTCTGATTTTCTTCAGAATCCATTCATATTTTTATTTTTATTTTTAAGGAGGAAATCCTTAAAAATAAAAAATAAAAAATTAATCTTAATCCGTAGTAAAGCACAGCTATTATTTTTGGACACTATTATTTTCCCACACTAAACTCAATAATAAATCCATGAACATATCATTATTTATCTGAAAACAAAAACCATTTATTTTAATTTCCCAGATTAAAAAAACAACTAAATGAGAACAAATAACTGTAAAATACCATTTACACTTCAGCAATGTTATAATTTCTGATTTTCTTTCTATTATATTTCACATATTCACATTTTATGTCAGATCATGCCACACAAATCTGATTATCGGAGCATGATGTAAACATCCCATTCATTATTCGGCAACGCTCTTAGGGCAACCCATTACATATGTTTGGATAAACATTGAAAACAAAGTACATTTAACAAATGCAGATTTATCAAAACATACACACAAATGCCTGGAAAAACCCTTTTCCCTCAAGTTATCTGAAACCTTTGCAAAACAAATGGAATGCACAGCAAAATCTCAAATGGTGGGCTGCCCTTTCCACAAAAGTACTAAAGGCATGATTGATTTATATTCTTTGGCTCTGTACATATATTTAATATTTCCCTCTTTTCAAGTTAAAAACCTTAGCAAAGGTATTTTTATGGTCTTAACCTCTCGTCAGTGTTCACATACAATAGTTCACTTCCCTTTATGCATTTTGTTTTCTTTTGCATCAGGCTGAATGCTTCACACTGGAAACCAGTGTATAGTGTGATTGCACTGGCTAGGACTCCTCCTGTAACAGAGTGCACTGATGCTCTGTATGTCTTCATTATTGTGAGCACCCCGTTGCACTCCAATGATGCCCCACAGTGTAGAGCCTTCAGCCGTAACAAAGTAGCTCAGTGGGTTAGCACTGCCTGTAAGTCCTCAGAATGGGGTTAAACTCCTTGTAATAAAATAAATGCTACAGTATGTGGAACAATAATACAAAGTAGCAAAGAAAACTGCTCTTCATACGATGCCCGAAAAGGGCAGTACAGAACTGTTTTAATAACCTTGTTCAGTATGGGTATAATTTAAAGATGCAGCATGTGTTTGCAATCCAACATTTACAGTATGTTTTATCAACCCGACACAATTAAATTATCATATGAAAAGTAACAAAAAAAATGAAGGTGAAAATAAAATCTATTGGTTGGGTTTTTGAATCTCAAAGAATTTCAACATTATTGGTTTTTTTTTTTGGTGTCTTTTTTCTGTTTTTCAGGTTGTTTTTTTTTCAGGATTCCAGTAGTGGAAGCATTTTGTAAGAAATCCACAGAAGGTTGGTAATCAATCTGGAGTCATGAAACATTAATCAAGCAAAAAAATATAATACAATAGAGTAAATCATTCACTGCTGAATTTGATGGTTTCTTAGGTTTAACTTTAAATAATTAACTACTATTGTAACTAAAAAATCCACTGAAACTATGCAACCTAACCCCTCAATTTGACGTTGGATGATATGAAAAATCACCCAAGCAATTTCTGTTACTTACAAAATGTATGAATGATCCTTGTTTCCAAAAAAGCTATGGGATTATTTAGCCTTAATTACTTATCACAAACACATTTTGTAACAGCAGAAATAACACAGGTTTTCTCAGACAGAAGTGAGATCTTTAAGCCTTTTGAACTATTCACTCCATAAAACTATTTAAACTAATATACAGAAAAAATACTAACCAATTTTAGCAATGCAGAAAATCTTTTGCTTTATATAAATATGTGTGCTTAAGAAAAGCATAAAATTTTCATACTGTAGATACATGTACTGCACCAATATTACCAATCACACCTTAAATGTACTCTTAGCACATTGTCGCATAATATAATGGTTAAATATAATGGTGTATCTTCCATTTAATAACCAAAACCAAATTTAAAAAAGCTTAGTTCTAAAACAAAAGCTTCTATTATCTCTATAACAGACTGTCAATGTAAAAGTTTATCGGTGATATACTGTATTGTGGTCCCGCATAAAAGGACTGCAGTAACCACAGGTTTGCCACTAGAGAGTGCCAAAAAGACCTCAAAGACATTAGTAAAATAGTTTCTTGGGGGTTTAATAGTCACTGATTGGGTTGACAATTGGGATTACTATGCATGCACTAAGACAAGGGGGAGTCTTAAGTACTTTTTATAAAAGGATATATCACAAGAGTCGAGGAAGAGTAAAATAGGATCAAGTAAAGTGAATTCCACACTGAAAAGGAGAAGAAACAGTATGTTAGCTATTGTAGCCAATACAATACAATTGTGGGGGGGGTGATTAAGAGACCAACTGAGTTAAGTTGGAGTGCTTGAAGGTTAGGAGTTTTATTCTTGTAATAGTAGTGGAATAGTTAAGGGTGGTAGTAGCCATCCTCTCTAAAGTTGCTATTGTTATTTTTGTAGAAGTCTGTTGGTGTGGTTTTCAGTTTTGAAAATATTTTACCAAGCCAGGCAACTACCAGGCTACCAAAATAGTGGATCTGACGAATATAAGAACAGTTACAAACGAGAGGCCTTCTGGCCCATCTAACTTGTTTGATAGTAGTTGATCGATTCAAGCATCTCATCCAGCTATTTCTTGAAAGAAGCCAGAATGGTTTCATATTCCAAAAACCCTTTGGGTAAAGAAGCTGGTTCTCTGTATAAATGTACTTCCTCAGCTGCATTTCAGGAATAGTTACCAGGTCTAATTATAATTTTGACCATCACCATATAATATAAATCTTTAATTCTCCTTTCTTCATTAGGTGTTTTTCAGTGCAGTCAGCTCAAATGTATGCAAAGTATACTTTGCTAAAAAATTATTGCCGTGACAAAAGCTTCCAATAAATCTACCTTCAGTTCATTACTTTTCTCAGATCAGCCTCTTTAGACCACTTACCAGAGTATGTATATCTATTATCTGTCCTCCCACACACTGGGACTAAAAACCAAAGCCTTAGAAAGAACATTATCCAAACCCCAAGATATTTATGCTTACATTCTTTAAAACATCCTTTTCCTATTGCTCACATTTCAATATTAAAAAGCCTGTTAATTCCCCTTTAAATTTCTATTTCGTTAACATGATAATTTGATGATGTCCCTTTGTCTTAATTTAAATTAAGATGAGCATGTCTAATTTTATTGGGGTAAAATGCAGGGAGCTCACATGTCAATCAATAAATGTTTCCTTATAGGACATAATAAACATAAATATATGTAAAAACTGACAGCAGCAACTTCTTTCCACCTTTTGTATTTACAGTGCCTTCAGAAAGTATACAGACCCCTCCACTTTTTCCACACTTTGTTGTGTTGTAGACTTATTTCAAAATGGATTGAATTGATTCTTTTTTGCCATTAATCGACACCCAATACCCCATGATGACAAAGTGAAAACAAGTTTTTAGAAGTTTTTGCAAATTTATTAAAAATATAAAGCTGAAATCTCCTATTTACAAAAGTATTCAGAGCCTTTATTATGACACTCCAAATTGAGCTCAGATGCATCCTAATTCTTTTAATCATCTTTGAGATGTCTCTAGAACTTGATTGTAATGCAATCACTTAATTGGACATGATTTAGAATGGCACACACCTGTCTTTATAAGGTCACACAGTTGACAGTGCATAGCAGAGTAAAAACCAAGCCATTATGTCCGAGGAACTCTCCGTAGACCTCAGAGGTCTAGGATTGTGTCAATCTGTCAATCTGGAAAAGGGTATTAAAAATTGGCAATGCATTGAAGGTTCCCAGGAGCACAGTTGCCTCCATCATTGTCAAATGGAAGAAGTTTGGAACCACCAAGACTCTTCCTAGAGCTGGCCGTCCGGCCAAATTAGGTATTTGGGCAAGCAGGGTCTTGGTCAGGGAGGTTACCAAGAACCCAATGGCCACACTAACAGAGTGTCAGAGTTCCAGTGTAAAGATGGGAGAACCTGCTGGAAGGACAACCATCTCTGCAGGACTCCCTCAATCAGGTCTCTAATGTAGAGTGGCTAGACGGAAGCCACTCCTGAGGAAAAGGCATATGACAACCCACATGGAGTTTGCCAAATGGCACCTAAAGGACTCTGAGAGCACGAGGAGAAAGATTCTTTGGTCTGATGAGACAAAAATTGAACTCCGTGTCTGGTGAAAACCAGGTATCGCTCATCACCTGACTAATACCTTCCCTATGGTGAAGCATGGTAGTTGCAGCATCATGATGTGGGGATACTTCTCAGTAGCAGGGACTGGTCAGGACTGAGGGAAAGATTAACAGAGCCAAATACAGAGAGGTCATGAAGAAAACCTGCCCCAGAGCACACACAATCTTGGACTAGGACGAAGATTCACCTTTCAGCATGACAAAGATATAAAGCACACAGCCAAGACAACACTGGAGTGGCTTCGGAACAAGTCTCTGAATGTCCTTGAGTGACCCAGCCAAAGCCTGGACTTGAACCCCATACAAAATATGTGGAGAAACCTAAAGATTGCAGTTCACCAATGCTCCCCATCCAATCTGACAGTTTTAAAGAATCTGCAGAGAAGAATGAGAGAAACTGCAACAAATCCAGGTGTGCCAAGCTGTTAGAAGCATTCCCAAGAAGACTCGCAGCTGTAATCGCTGCTAAAGGTGGTCCTACAAAGTACTGAATTAAGGGTCTGAATACTTAGGTAAATGGGAGATGTCAGTTTTTAATTTTTAATCAAATTTAATAAAATTTCTAAAAACTTTAACATTAT